GGTGTAAAATAGTAAATGACATTTATGTAGAATCTACTGCAATGCCCGTATTGCAATATGCAAAGAATGTAAATTTTGATTGCTATTAAACGGTGTGGGAGTAGAAGGCTCAACACAAACAATTATTAGTCAGGTGGAAGCGCTTATGTCTTGGCCATGGAGTCCTACAGTCTCTGTGTTGTCTGCAGACCTGAAGTGCACTGTCAACTACATGCCCCCCCCCCCCTTGCGATAAAGGCATTGCCATTGAGCAGTTCATCGGCTTGAGATGGCGTTGCCAGCGTCAACGTGAGCTGTCTTCGGATGGTCTATAAAAATTGCGTCTTTGCATCCGTTAACCTGGAGAGGATACTCAGGATCGTGCTTGGACACTTTTTTTAAAGGAACACCAAAAGGTGCTTGTAACCGAGTGCAAGTAGCATCATGACAGATGAAGACATGAATGGTATGAAGCAATGATGGGCTCATATTTATTTATTTATTTATTTATTTATTTATTTATTTATTTATTTATTTATTTATTTATTTATTTCGAATACCTCCAAGGCCCCAGCTGGCGTATTACATGAGGGATGGGTATTAATTACAGAATACAAAAAAGTAATTCGAGAGCAATCTTGAATTGATGCGGGTCGGAGTGGTGCACGGTAGTTGCGGGCAGACGGTTCAAGTCCCGTGCAGTTGTCACAAAAAAGGAGCGAAGATGTGCGGTGATTTGGGCTGGTGGCGGATACACCCCGCTTGAATGGTTTGTGCGGCTTGATGAGCAATGGACTGGCAGGACGGCTGGAATTTCGATGGGGGCATGATAAAATTTGTGAAAAAGGCAAAGTCGAGATATGTGACGTAATTCTAGATTAGAAAGGTGAGCACAAGTTTTAAGTGTGGAAACACTGGAATGGTAGGTATATTCAGAGTAGATAAAACGCGCAGCACAGTTTTAAATTGATTCGAGAATGTTGGATAAGTGAGATTGGGGGGGGGGGGAATCACAGACAGAACATGCATACTCTAATTTTGGACGAACAAGTGTGACATACGATACTAGTTTATCTGATGGGGGCGCAAGTCTAAAGTGTCTACGTAGAAAACCCTGAGTGCGATTCGCGGGAGTTGGATATGTTAGTCACGTGAGCTGACCAGAAAATGTTACTTGAAAATGTGACACCAAGATATTTGTAAGATTCAGCGGGTGAGACTGCAGAGCCGGAAATGGTATATTCTGCTGACTGGTGATGGGGCCTGCGATGAAAATATACCAATGAAGTTTTCTTTATGTTTAAAGACATTAACCACTTATCACACCAGGATACAATTAAATTGAGGTCGTTTTGAAGTGTAGTAGTGTCTGCGCTGTTTGCTATGGGATGGTATACGACGCAGTCTGCAAAGAGGCGAATGCTTGAAGAGATGTTGGATAGAAAGTCATTGATGTAAATGTCATGGAAGTAATGGTCCAAGCACTGTAAAGGTCATTGAAGTAATGGTCCAAGCACTGTACTTTGCGGCACACCAGAGATTACAGAGAAACGGCTAGACGAGACGGAGTTAGCATGTACAAATTGTTCGCGATTGGTAAGGAAACTGTGAATCCAATTAAATACATTTGTATTAATGTTTAGACGAGAAAGCTTTTGTAGTAGCTGTTGATGCGGGACTTTGTCGAATGCTTTTTCAAAGTCTAAGAAGAGGGCATCAACAGGTATGTTTATGTCGAGGCTGGAACTGATATCATGATAAAATAAAGCTAGTTGTGTGTCACATAAAAATCCTGAGCAAAAGCCATGTTGACTGGAATGAAACTAGTTATTGCTGACTAAGAACTTGACGATGTTAGAATAAATCACATGCTCCATTAGTTTGGAGCAAATGCTAATAAGGGAAATGGGGCGATAACTGCTGCAAAGAGGTGAAGGTCCTTTTTTGGGCACTGGAACAATCTTGCCCACTCTCCAGTCTTCCGGCACCACTCCTATTGATAGTGACTGCTGAAAAATATGACAGAGTAGTGTACTAGCAATTGATTACGTGTTTTTGAGCATTTTCGCGTTGATACCATCGATGCCGCATGAAGATGTGAGTTTCAGTGAGTCGATTAGTTTTGCGATGCCGTTTGAGCAGAATGTGATGTCCGGCATCTCGCCATGATTGGAATTCAGAAATGAAGGCAAGTTATCGACATGTTCAACGGTAAACACGGAAGAAATAAAGCTGTTAAGTTGTTCGGCGGCCTCGTGATCGGGAATTGGATGGCTTTGATCGTTGTGCAGTACTAATGATTGGAAAGTACTTGGGTTAACTGTGTTCCAGAATTTTTTGGGGTTGTTGCTTAACATAGCGGGCAATGTTTGTGAAAAAAATAAAAGTTTTTCTTTGTTAGCAACGTTATCGAATTCTTTTTCTGCAGCGTAGTACCTGTGTATAAACGATCTTCAAATCACAATGAAGTGGCAGAGGTACAACAGTAGTCATAGTAGTGCACAGGATGTCAGCAAGTGTACCTCTGCTGATGTCTGTTCCGACACAAATAACACGTCAGGTACGTGACATGTCATGTCAAAAACTAGCTCTGCGAATGAGCACCAAGCATTTCTTCACCGCGGCACAAAGACCTCGTAAAACCAAGGGCAGACACTTTGTCAATGAAATTCTTACCATATTTTTGCGCGTATAACCCGCCCCTGCATATAATCCGCACCCCCACTTTCAGCTCATTGAGAAGGAAAAAAAAAAACCTCGCGTATTACCCGCACATTTGATATACAGGAAAGGCTGTAGAAAAGCTACTGCTCAAGCAACTTAGCACATATGTAGACAGAAAAAGCTTTATTTAGCAAGCAGAATACGCTGTCTGCATGGCCAGTCACAATTCACTCACTGTCGCTGCTCTCGCTAGAGCTATCACTTGAGCCGCAGTCCTCACTATTATGCACAAGGTCATCTTTGGTTCCATCTATTTGTTTGTGATGCAGCATTTCTTGAAACTTTTTCGCACCATCTCACCTGGAATGGCCTTCCATGCCTCAACAATCCAGTAGCAGAATAGGGCAATATCAGGCCTTCGGACTCGTCCTGTCGGCGTCAAGTCATAGCAGCCTTTGGCCATTCACTCGGCGTAATAGCGCTTGACAGGCGCTTTGAAGGGCTTGTTAAGCGACACATCTAGAGGCTGCAACATTGACGTCATTTCACCGGGTATAACAACTAAGTCGGTTCCGTTGCGTGAAAGGCGGTCCTTCACTTCCTCAGTTGTGTGGTCGCGGAACGAGTCAAGAACGAGCATGCACCTCTTTGCGAGCATCGCACCAGGTCTCTTCTCCCATACCGTCTTGATCCAGTCTACGAACAAGTCACTGTTCATTCACGCGTTCTCGTGTGTGCGCACCACCACACCGGCAGGCAAACTAACATTTGGTAGAGTTTTCCTTTTCAAGATGACGTACGATCGCAGTTGCGTGCTGTCGGCGAGGGCACAAAGCAAGACTGTGATGCGCAGTTTCGTGTTCCCGCCGGTCAGCACGCTCACCGAACAGCTGCCCGTCTTCTCAATCGTTGTGTCCAACGTCATTTAAAAATAAACAGGAGTTTCATCCGCATTGCCGATTTGCAAAAAATGTAATTGTGCCACTTTCGCAGGCTAATTACATATCTCTGGTGCTTGAGCAGCTTCTCCTCTTAAGAAGCCGGCAAGCGTTGACATATTGTAGTCCGCCGTCTGATTGAGAGCCCTTGCCGCCTTATAAAGCGGTGCAGCCATCCGCGGCTCGTACGGAAATCATTAGGTAGGCCTAGCTCCCTCGAAAGTCACCGCGCTTCCACTTGGGCCACCTCAGTCGATACGGCGTGACCCCTGCTTCTCACATCTTCGATGAACTTTACTAGCTCCGCCTCCAGCTCAGGGTAGGCGCTGGTCTTGGGGCCATGAAATGACGTACGATCGTGGTGCGTGGCTTGTAGGCTCTCTTTCTTCTTTCTCCACAGTTGCACGCAGGACTCGTCCACATCGTGCCGTCTTCCCGCTTCGCGATTTCCGAATTCCTCGGCGACGGCGATGATCTTAAGCTGTTGCTGTGCTGTGAAGGCCTGCCGCCGTACGCTACTCATGGTGACAGAACAGATTGACTTAGGCTTGGCGAACGGATTGAGATGTGGAGAACTAGCGGTATCAGCGAGGTAATGAGCGCTCACACTCGGCGACAACTTGACAGCACTACCCCTTCTAGTGCACTGTAACAGCACCCTGGAAACAACAGAACCGAAATGCATGCCTGCTACCGCATCAAAAAGTAGTACATTAATTTACTGATAATATCTCTATAGGCACTATAATATCTCATTTGTCTTGCTGAAATAAATACTGCTTTATTTATTATGGAACTTACTTTATTTATTATGGAACTTTCTTAGACAGCACCACCTTCTCGGCAAGCCCTTTCCAAAAGTAAACATGGCGTCCGTGATGTAGGGACACGTGGAGGGTCACTGAGCGGCCACGAACGTCCAAAAAATGTACTTGTGGTGTGACAGTGAGGTTTCAAACTCAACAATCAAATGATCTCTCCCCAAATGTTTTTCTAAGCGCTTTAACGATGCAAGCAAGCAAAACCAAACTTGGCCGCAAGCTGCCGTGCTACTTGCGGAGCAACACGAATTTGCAGAAACCGCCTCCGTAGCCTTCGCTACACTGTTAAAGGGCTTCACAGCACAACACGCATTGCTGTGAAGCAGCACTATAGGAAAAACCTCGCGTATTATCCGCACCTCCACTTTGCTACTGGAATTTTCGGGTTTTTGGTGCGAGTTATGCGCGCGAAAATACGGTAAGTCTTGCACACGCATTGATTTGATATATGGGGTTTAACGTCCCAAAACCACCATATGATTATGAGACACGCCGTAGTGGAGGGCTCCAGAAATTTTGACCACCTGGGGTTCTTTAACGTGCGCCCAAATCTGAGCACACGGGCCTACAACATTTCTGCCTCCATTGGAAATGCAGCCGCCACAGTCGGGATTTGATCCCGCGACCTTCCGGTTAGCAGCCGAATACCTTAGCCACTAGACCACCGCGGCGGGGCGAGTCTTGCACACGCAGTGATGGCTTCAGTGTACGGTGAAAGCCTTCTACCATGCCGTTCAAAGTGGGGTGTTTAGCTGTAGTTTGTATCATTGTTACACCTAGAAGGCGGGAGACAGCCCCAAATAGGGATGATTCAAACTGTCTCCCTGGAGCAGTTGTTACGGTTTGCAGCAACCCATAATAAGTGATCCAGGTGTCCACGCGAGCCTGTGCAACAGATTCTGAAGCGATCTTGCTTAAAGGCTTTGCTTCCAGCTATCGGGCAAATTGATCGATAGAAGAGAGTATCTAACGTTGTGTCATTTTTGTTCAACCACGTGACAGGCACATGAAAACACACTGTACACATTGTTTGGTTCAAAGGGAAAAAGGCTGCATGTCACAGCTTGACTGGCCCCTTCAGCTAGAAAAAGAAGTACAAGTTCAAAGTTCACAACAAAAAACTCATAAAAAAGTAATTTATGAAAAAATGAAACTAAATAACCAAAAAAATCATCCAACATCCATGAACAACACAAGATGAACACCCAATTTAACATATCAGTTTTGGACAAGATACACACATATCAAGTATTAATTTCCATTAGATCATCCGATTTGGAAGACTGCAATGTAGCACTTCAAATTCTAGAGTTAGTGGGAGAACATGGTACATGCTAAGCCTCCGTGACAAGAATAACGCGACTGCCATGATTAGGTTGCAAGGCGGCTGAAGTGAGTAAAAGAGTACTTCCCCTGCAGATTGACAGAAGCTGCTATTCTTATTATCTAGCAAGTGGGTTCCGGGACAGCGGTAACGGATTCATAATTTTGACAAGAACATAGCTAAATTGAACGTCTGGTGGTGGAACTAAAAAACACCGTGGATCAAAGCCGTGGTAGGCTGAGCGCACACACGACATAGTTGTACTTGGCCGTCGGCAATGCGATGTGTTAACGGTGAAGCAGCACTTTGATGTGGATGAATCAGAGCTTAGAATCTCTGGGCCGGAACTCGGGAAGTTTTGAGTGTGGCGACGGAAGGTGTTGTATGTTCTCGGGAGCTCGATTCCATGATCTTTAAGAGACGGGACAAAGAGTGGCGACGCAGGAAGCGTCAGAGGTCACCAAGTTTTGGGAGCAGAAGGCTCAACACAACATAGCCAGGTGACAGAGCCTATGTCAAGGCCATGAAGTTTGAGCTTCTTTGTGTCTTCATCTTCCCTGGACACGAATCACACTGTCCCCTACAAAGGTAATGGACAATTGATAATTGTTGGGGTATATCCCAAGACCCAAGCAAGCGCTGACAATTTTATCCGCATAACAAACTCGTTGCGTCGTAGGTGCAGTTTTGTGCTATTGTATATTCATGATTGTATATTCATGGTGAGAGAGCAGCGATGGCGTAGTGGTTAGAGCATCCGCCTCGCATTCAAAAAGTCCGTGGTTTAAATCCCGGTGCCGCACAGTTCCCAACCGAATAAAAAAAAATCCGCGTGGTGATGGAACTGCATTACGAGGCCTGGAGTGTGGCCTCACCGGTAACCACCGCCGGGAACGCACTTCCCCACCAGAGTAGGATTGGCCACCCTGGTGCAGTATCTGGCCACTACTTCCCACATGCTTACGTCAATCAACTCATGGCCCTCAGTCCCCAGCAGCCGCAAAGCAACTGACCATGGCGGCGGTCAGATCTGCAACGCAGCAGAGGATGCTAAGAATTTCTGGATCCGGACAGGCTGCCATTGGAACCGGAACTTGGCAACCTTTAACGCTAAAACCTTATCTAGTGAGGGAAGTCTAGCTGTACTATTCGTGTAGCTAGAGGGTGTTAAATGGGATATAATAGGGCTTAGTGAGGTTAGGAGGACAGATGAAGCCTATACGGTGCTACAGAATGGGCACGTCCTTTGGTATCGGGGCTTGGCTGACAGAAGAGAACTGGGAGTGGGGTTCCCAATTCACAGAAACATAGCTGGCAACATAGAGGAATACTATAGCATTAATGAAAGGGTGGTAGGTATCGTAATTAAACTGAATAAGAGATACAAGATGAAGGTGGTACAGGCTTACGCGCCTACATTCAGCCATGATGACGCCTCAATTGAAAGCTTCTATGAAGACGTGGAATCGGCAATGAGTAAGATAAAAACACAGTATACTATAGTGATGGGGGACTTTAATGCAAAAGTAGGGAAGAAGCAGGCTGGAGACCAGGCAGTAGGAGATTATGGCATCGGTACTAGAAACTCCAGAGGAGAACTTCTAGTAGAATTCGCAGAATGCAATAATTTACGGATTTTGAATACCTTCTACCGAAAACGAGGAAACCGCAAGTGGACATGGAGGAGCCCTAATGGCGAAAATAAGAACGAAAAAGACTTTATAATGAGTGCACACCCAGGCATCGTGCAGAATGTGGAAGTGGGCAGCAAGGTACGACGCAGTGACTATAGAATGGTACGATCTCGAATTCGCCTAGACTTGAGGAAGGAACGACAGAAACTGATACGCAAGAAGCCAATCAATGAGCTAGCACTGAGAGGGAAAGTACAGGAATTTAGAGTCTCGCTTCAGAACAGGTACTCGGCTCTTAGTGAGGAAACCAACCTTAGCATATATACAATGAATGATAATCTGAGGAGTATCATTACGGAGTGTGCAGTGGAAGTTGGAGGCAGGGTAGTTAGATAGGTCACTGGCAAGCTTTCCCAGGAAACCAAGAATCTCATTAAGAAGCGTCAAATAATGAAAGTCTTAAGTGCAACAGACAAAATAGAACTGGCAGAGCTTTCGAAGTTGATTAATAGGCGTAAGGTATCCGATGTAAGAAGATATAACATGGAGAGAATTGAACACGCTCTGAAAAACGGAGGAAGCGTCAAAGCAGTGAAGAGGAAACTTGGGATAGGCAAAAATCGGATGTATGCACTAAGAACAAAGAAGGCAAAGTAACTACCAATATGGATAGGATAGTTAAAATAGCGGAGGAGTTTTACAGAGATCTGTACAGTAGCCAGAGAAACCACGACTTTAATACTATAAGAACTAGCAGTAACCCAGATAAAACACCACTACTAATGATAGAAGAACTCAGAAAAGCTTTGGAGAGCATGCAAAGAGGCAAAACTGCTGGTTAGCACCAGGTAACATCAGATCTGCTGAAAGGTGGAGGACAGATTGTGTTAGAAAAACTAGCCACCCTGTTTACGAGGTGTCTCCTGACGAAAAGAGTACCAGAGTCTTGGAAGAACGCTAACATCATCTTAATACATAAGAAAGGAGATGACAAGGACTTGAAGAATTGCAGGCCGATTAGCTTGCTCTCTGTAGTATACAAGCTATTTACAAAGGTAATTGCTAACAGAGTAAAGAAAACATTAGAATTCAATCAACCAAAGGAACAAGCAGGATTTCGAACAGGCTACTCAACAATCGACCACATTCATACTATCAATCATGTAATAGAGAAATGATCAGAATATAACCAACCACTATACATAGCCTTCATATATTACGAGAAGGCGTTTGATTGAGTAGAAATATCAGCCGTCATGCAGACACTGTGGAATCAGGGCATCGATGAAGTATATATAAACATCCTGGAAGAAATCTACAGGGGATCAACTGCTACCATAGTGCTTCATAAAGAAAGCAACAGAATACCAATCAAGAAGGGTGTAAGGCAGGGGGCACAATCTCCCCAATGCTGTTTTCCGCGTGCTTACCGGAGGTTTTCAGAAGCCTAGAATGGGAACAGTTAGGAATAAGAGTTAATGAAGAGTACCTTTGTAACCAGCGCTTCGCCGAAGACATTGCATTGCTGAGTAACTCAGGGGACGAATTGTAACTCATGATTACGGAGTCAGACAAGGAGAGCAGAAAGGTGGGTCTTAAAATGAATCTGCAGAAAAGGAAAGTAATGTACAACAACCTCGGAAAAGAGCAGTGCTTCGAGATAAATAATAGTGCACTTCAAATTGTAAAAGACTATGTCTACTTAGGGCAGGTAATAACCACGGAGCCAAATTACGAGATTGAAGTAACTAGAAGAAAAAGAATGGGGTGGAGCACATTTGGCAAGCACTCTCAAATTACGACAGGTAAATTGCCACTATCCCTCAAGAGGAAGGTATATAACAGCTGTATCTTGCCGGTACTTAGCTAGGGAGCAGAAACCTTGAGACTTACAAAGAGGGTTCAGTTTAAATTGAGGACAACGCAGCGAGCAATGGAAAGAAAAAATGGTAGGTGTGACCTTAAGAGACAAGAAGAGAGCAGAGTGGATTAGAGAACAGACGGGGGTGAAGAATATCATAGCTGATATCAAAAAGAAGAAATGGACATGGGCCGGGCATGTAGCGCATAGACAAGATAACCGCTGGTCGTTAAGGGTAACTGACTGGATTCCCAGAGAAGGGAAGCGGGTTAGGGGGAGACAGAAGGTTGGGTGGGCAGATGAGATTAAGAAGTTTGCGGGTATAAATTGGCAGCAGCAAGCACAGGACCGGGTTAACTGGCGGAACATGGGAGAGGCCTTTGTCCTGCAGTGGACGTAGTCATGCTGCTGCTGATGATGATGATCCCAAGACCATCATAGGATTATGAGAGATTCCATAGGAGAGATTCCATAGTGAACGGCTCCGGATATTTCTATCACCTCAAGTCTTTTACTGCGCACCTAAACACACGAGCCACAAGCATTTTTGCCTAAATCAACAATGTGAACACCAAAGCAGGAATTCGATCACAGGACCTCGGAATCAGCAGTCGAGCACAATAACCACAAGGCCACTCGGGCGGGTTAGCAGGAGTGGAGGCATTTGCAACAGTCAAATTATTACTGGTAAAGGGACCACAAACAACGAAGTAAAATGCAAATACACTTTTATCCTTGGCATCAATCAAAGGAACGTTATAAATTTGGTAATCAATTCCACACAGCTAGTTACCTTTTCAAAAAAAAAAGAGAACAAGCTCTTCAGCATATACACTGGACAATACAAACAAT